AATATTCAAAACAAGAAGAACTATTTTAAGTTCTTTATGTTGCTATTTTGTTTAGATTTGGGGGGTTCTAAAAAGTTTAAATATATGTTACTTGTAAAAGTTACATTAAGTAAAAAAGTTTTAATAATTAATTCAGGAGGGATTGTGATTTCAGTATTATGAAATGAGACAGTATAAGAAAAAATTTGGCTGGCATGGTGCCTCACGTCTGTATTTCCAGCACTTTGGGAGGCCTAATTCCTTGTTCTTGGTACTGATTATACAGAGAAAATTCATCAAACTGTATAACTATTATTTCCCTACCGTTCCGTAGGAAGTTAGTTAGGTTCCCTTGAATCCCAAAAACAGAATCAAAATTCCAAAGCTGTAAAGTATAAATGTATTAAAGACTATATTCTGCACTAGCATTAAAAGACAAAATGAAGACCCCAACACTGTGTATCTTTATTTAACCCGGCTAAGAGTCATAACCCTCTGACGCCACATGCACAGTAAAGATCAAGAAATCAGGCTGTGGAGCCATTCTTTCCCGTTTCTGTTCTCTCCCAACAATCCCGTCTCGCCACACACTCAATGGTTTATCAAGTAACTAACAGAAGAAACCAGCTATCTGCTAGGCCATTTGACTTCAGTAAACTGGGGAAAAACAGTTAAAAACAAAAACAAAACACAGGCCAGGCGCAGTGGCTCATGCCTGTAATCCCAGCACTTGGGAGGCCGAGCCAGGAGGATCACCTGAGGTAAGGAGTTCGAGACTAGCCTGGTCAACATGGCGAAACCCCATCTCTACTAAAAATAGAAAAATTAGCTGGGAATGATGGCAGGCACCTGTAATACCAGCTACTTAGGGGAGGCTGAGGCATGAGAATCACTTGAACCGGGCGGTGGAGGCTGCAGTGAGTCGAGATCGCACAACTGCACTTCAGCCTGGGGAATAAAGCAAGACAGTCAAAAAAAATAAATAAATAAACTACCCCTCCCCATAAAAAAAAATTTACTTAGCAAAATGTATGACGGTAATTCAATCACCCAAATTTTGTTTGTTTAGTCATTCTGGGCTCACATAGCATTAGGACTGTTATTATACATTCTGGCCAAATTAAGTTTTTTCAAGTATACTGCAAAATCTAAGGTGAGTCAAAGACCATTATATGCCAATCCCTCTTTATCAGCAATCCAATACTAGTGACTGGGTCCACTGATGGGCAAGCTTGTAGGTGCTCAATAATCAAAGAAAATAAGGATTAGCAGATTGTCCTGAGGTAAATCCTACTGTATTACTAATGTGCCTAACTTATCTGAAAAGTCTCTAGGTAGCTTTTGTGGGCTCACAAACTTACTACAATGCTATCCTGCAAAAATGACAGAACAACTTAATTCTATAGTAACCTAAGAAATCCTATTTTAATTAGACTGAGGTGTCTAAGAAATGACAAAAAAAAAAAAATCCTATTTTAAAAGCTGTATGCACGGAATAAAACTGTATACACGGTCCTAATTGAATTTACTTTTCAAGGTAATCACTTGAACTATGTTTAAAAAATGAAAAAGATAATGTCATCTTTACCATAAAGCTGCCGTTTTGGTTAAAAAACAAAAGAAGGAACTACACATACAATCTACAGGCCTAAAACAGAGTTCATAAAATCTGACAGGTAAAGGGACCTCACTTTTCTTTCCTCCCTTTGCCAAAGTAAAAATTCATAAAGTGCTCAAACCTATAGCCCCTATAGCAGTTTATAATCAAAATCTCGGAAGAGCAATGGAAATTGTATTAGATAAAATGTTCACTAGTATTTTAAAAAATCAAACATAACTACTATATAAACAAACAGATTAACTAAAATAAGCAACTGATATCACCACTGATTCTACAAAGCACTTTACTGCTTGCATTAACCATGAAAATTTATACAAGGGTTTGCATGTGATTCAACTCTGGACACAGAACCCATTGAGATACGTTAATGTCCTAAAACACCCCTTTCACCACATAAGCTCTGAATAGGTTTAAAACAAGCATAGTCTGTAGGTTAGCACTGTAGAATTTGGAGCTAGATTTTATTGTCCCCACCAAGTTCAGCCAACCATAGAGCAACAAATCAAAGTTCCAATAAGCACATTGCACCTGAGAGACTTAGGTATGCTCCAAGTCAAATATTTGCAATTTTTTCATCCCAAATCTGCACAAATGAAAAAACACAGATAACAGCGCCAGACTTCTAAATCTTGTCATAAGACAGAATGATCTCTAGTTTTACTCCAACATGCTCCGTATCCTAACATGTATTGAGTCTCTAATATGATCATATGCCAGGACCTGCTAGGCATTTGCATAAATGATCTCTAACCCTCATAACAAATCCCATTCCACTGATGAGGAAACTGAGGCCAGAGAGGTCAAGGTGACTTGTTCAATATCGTAATGCCAGTAAATGGTGGAGTAGGGGTTTTAAATCTGGCTCCAAAGCACCATTTCCCTGAGCCTTCTTCAGCGAAAGTCACTAACCACAGCACCAGTTCACCTCTATCGAAGTAAATTGAAGTGTGATTGTCTGAAATGATGACAGCAGCTGAGAAAAATATCACACCTAAAATGGTAGGACAAGACCCAAGACTTCACAATAAGGAGACACAGTCACATCCTTTAGAGTAACTAGTTTTAAAGGCGATGGTTCAAAATACAAGACAATCCACTTTGTGTGTGTGTTTTTTCTTTTTGATTGTCTCGAAACTGACTTTTTTATAACAAAGGAAATGAAACTCAAAAGTATATTCACATTTTTTTGGGTAAAACTATCTGAAACCCTCAAGAAAAGGATGACTTCAAAAGTTCACATTATAGTTTACCTCTTCGCTAGGCTGCAGACATTCAAAAACAAAATCATATCAGTAGCATTACTAATCAACTTTTTTTTCCTACAGACTTGAAAAGTATTTTCTTACCACACTACGAGATTACTTCCCATACTTAGAACAAAAATGGAAACAGCTCTGGGTGTCACAAATCAGATCTTGAGACCACAGTTGCAGAAAGTAGGTGCTGCTTCCCTTGAGTAGGAGCTGCTGATCTAAAACCTCCTAAGGGAAGGGTATCTGAAGAAGAGTGTTGGAGAAACTAAAGCAAGCTGTTTGTATTAATGAGAGTGAGCTGCTGGCACCACTGCTCCTTAAGTGTTTCACTGCTATGCAATTGTTTTCCATCTTCCAAGTTCTGAATCTGGCAGGGAAGGAATGCTGTTCTCACAGCCCCATGTGTTATATGATCAGCTGCTCTATAGTGTGTGGGTGTTTAACTAGGTAAGTGACTGGTTAGAAGAGGTTCCACAATACTAAATCACGGAAGCACACTGTCCTCTGAGGTTTTAATGGTCAGTATACTACAAAGTATTTGCAAAGAAAAATAAACTATTTGCAACTTTGAAATGGTTTGGGTTTAGGATAGGCAAATAATTTCTGACAGTAAAACTTAGGGCGTGACATGAACGAAAAATATAACTTGTAATATACAGCACTGCCAGCATGTTTATGAGATAATAAAAAACGCAATATTTGCAACTTCAGCATGCTTTCAAACTTATAAATGCTATTCCTCAGGTGTATGGAACAGGTTTCATGCAGTATTTCAAGGCTCCCTTGCCTTCCAAAGTGCCAGTTAATATCATAAATTCCTTAGCTTCTCAGAACCCACACCCCCAATGCAAAAAATATTAAGGTCTCAAAGGATTCTTTAACTGAAAAATAATGTCAGAATCATAAGCTCCTAGAGAGCCAGGACTGTGCTTAAAGTTACTACCAATCTCACCACCATCACAAGCTGGAATAATATCTCTTGATTGCAATACGACCAAAAGGCAAAAGCTGGGTGCAGAGCAATTTAAACAAAAATAGCTGATATTTATCACCTGCTTATTAATCGTATGGCGCAAAGTTCATCCTCGGTTCCAGATTCCAAATATGGAGGCTGAATTCCCTAACTACAACTAAAATCCTTCCATTAAAACAAAATTTCAAAATGAATGATTTTGATGGCACTATCGCCATTAAGACATGAAATCACAGTTAACAATGCTGGAAAAAAAATCCTTTTTATGGGGCAGGTACACCACTAGGAGAATGATATAGCCTTCTTTTAAGAGATCAGATCAATTTCAGCCAACACATAAAGATTCAGTATAGGCATTATAAAAAAGACCTTGGACTTTGCTGTTGAAATTGGCTACATTTAGAATCTGGTTCCAGGAACATACATTACCAATTGATCGAGTCGAAAAAAATTATTTTGACTCTAGTTTTAACTTTTTCTGAAAGACTCTCACATACATTTCCTTTTTACAGGAAGACAAGGAAATAATTTACAAATACCTAATTTATCCTATCCAAAGAACAAAACACAAGGTTACATGCATAAGCTACTTTGCTGTTTATTGCTCAGGGCCAGACAATTCTAATCCTTTAAAAAAAACTAACCAACTAAACAAAACACACAACTCAGGTTCCTTTCACTTTTGCATAACATAGAGCTTAACCTGAAGTCCCAGGACCAGCTTCAAGTTGACTTAGTGGCATACAAAATTATGTGGTTATTTAATGGAGAAGATGGCTCTAAAGTCTTCCATGGCCCCAAACAAAGATTACCAACCCCTGAAGAAGACAGTTCCAGGATCACTAAAACTTAGTGAATAGTTTAAACAAAATTACACTAAAAATAGTATCTATCTGAATACTGTGGACGGTCCTGATATAAACAACCAATCTGCCTGCCACCACTGACAATCAGTGTCAAGCCCCACTCACAAAGCAGCTCCACTCGGCAACATCGCCTGTATTCAGCTCAGACACCACACATCCCAGCAACAGCAGCTCCTCAGTCCCTAAGCACACACATGTTGTCAACAAAGCATGTGCTAGTTGCCATTCCCAGAACAATACGGGCCTGGCCATCCTCTGGAAAAAAAAAACACACACACACACATTCTTTCCTGAATACTACCCTACAAATGCACTATGCCTTCACCATAGATGCCAAACGTTACAACAAAATAGGTGAAACTCGCACACACCATATCTAATTAACTGGGAAAAAGCATTACTCAGGTGTTCCTGAGGGTCCAAGGGAGATGCATACAAGAGAAACACTATGATAATGATGCTTGAACACGGGGACAATCTGGGGGCAAAGACAGACTCACGCAGGAACACCCCGAGAACGTGGCTGTGGAAAGCACCCTTCTCCAAAGACACAAACACATTCCTTTGATTGGCACAAGCCATTTCTGACAATGGATCCGCGGTGACAGGGGCTGCTCCGCAATCAGGAAGTGAGTGTATGAGTGTGCCTGTGTGTTGTGGGGGAGGGATGCATTAGATGTGATCAAAGCTGGACCTTTTCAGAGAAGGTCTCGAATCCTGAAGACAGACTTCGAGGTGAGGCAGGGGCATTTATCATTTCTACGGGAGACATCCCTGGACAATGAACATGTTACGTGGAGATGTAAAGGGGGTGTCACTACCTTTGGTATCTCGTATCTAAGAATCTTCAGCAGAGCCTGATTGGAGGGGAGGAGGAGGTGGGGGTGGAGAAAGGTCTGCATTACCCACTGGGGTGAGCGTGGGGCTGCCGGTGGCGGGTGTACAACAGATGCATTTTATCTGCTAGTGGCACAATACTCCCGGGGTTGGAGGTTTGGGTGCAACCGCAGGGCGGAGGAGGCAGTGGGTGCAAGCCACCAGCTGCAGGGCAGGAGAACGCTTGCAGGAGGACGGGTGCAAACCTCCTCTTGGCCCGCTAACCCGTGCTGACCCAACCTCCCCTCAGGCCTCGGGGCGAGCGGATCCGCTGCAAAACTGCAGCCAAGCCCGGGTCCGGGAGGGAGGGCGCGAAAGGCCAGGAACCGGGCGTCCCCGGCCCAAGCTAGGTGCCCAAGGGGCGCAGCGCCCGGGGCCTCCCCGCCGGATGGGGGCTGCTCCGGCCTAGCGCACGCAGCTGCCTCGGCGAAGGGTTACGCCGGCCCCCGGAGCCCGGGCCGGCCCGGCGGGCGGCGGAGAGGAAGGGCTGCTGGGGGCGCCGCCGCTGCGGTGGCGAGTGCGTGGGGGAAGGGGCCCTTACTCACCCGGGCCGGCCGCCTCCGCCTCCGCCGCCCCGGCCGCCTCCTCGGCGGTCCATCCCTGCGGCGGGGGCCTGCAGCCGCGGCGCTCGAGTCACAACCGCCGGCTGGGCCGGCCCCTCCCCCCTGCCCAACGTCTGTCCTCAGGGCCGCTCCTCAGACCCGGCCTCGGTTGCTGCCGTCGCCGCCGCAGCGCTACGTGGCCGTCGCTCCGACGTCTCGCGACTCCCTTCCGAGCGCGCGAGGGCGAGCGGGGCCGGCGGGGCGGGCAGCGCTGGGCGGGCGGCAGGGGAGGGGGTGTGCGTGTGTGGATGTGTGTGCCGGAGGGGGCAGGGAGGGAGGCGAGCGACAGCGAGGACGCGCCCGCGCGCGCGCGCGCCCGCGGTCCCTTCCCTCGCCAGCCCCCCCGCCCAACAGGGATCCCGACACCTCCCTCCGCCCGCCCCCTCGGCATCCCGGCCGCTGGGAGCGGCGGCGCGCATGCGCAGCCCTCGGGCCGGCCCGGGCGCACCTTTTCGGCCTCCTGCCACAGTATGAGCGCTCCGCCGCCCAGATAACCGCCAGCTCCCCGCGCCACCCCCGCCCTCTCCCACTCCGCCCACTCCCGGGCGCCCAGGTAAAGGCGAGAGCTGCGCATGCGCGGCGCTCTCTATCGGTCGGGGGGCGTGGTTGCTGAAAGGAAGCCCAAGCCAACAGTGCGGGGGGCTGTAGCACGGGGTGCTGTGGGGTTCCACGAAATAGGCGCGGATAAGGATGGGGGAAAGGTAAAGTGAAGAAAGGGGCCGAAGTAGAAAAGTGGGTCGACCTGAGATTTGGAAGTAAAAGAGACTTTGAATAAAAGCTTGACGAGCGCTGACCTCCTTGTTCCTGGAGGGCAGTGGGAGTGACGGAAGACAGAAATCAAATTGGCAGCATAGAAGCAGCAGTGGTCATTCGCCATATGAATGGGACAGTTAATAACTGGAACAGTTTAGAGGTTGCCAGGGTGCTCAGAAAAACAGATTTAGAGCCTCACCTGTCCTGTGGCCAGGAATAGGGAAGGGGATGTGTGTGCTTGAGACCTAGAGCTGCTGAGGTAAAGGAGGCCTCCATTGTATTACAGTATTATGACTAATTAGCTATTACTCATTAATATAATCAGTGGTACTATTAGCTAACAAAGTAGCATTTATCCGAGTTCAGAGCCAAGAGAGAGTGTCCGCAACTGAAAGTGCTTAGAGTACAGGGAGAAGAAATGAACCTGGCAAGGTGAAGGCCTGGGATGGAAAAGACCCAAGACAGCAACTCTGAGGTCACGGTGCCCTTTCCCACCGTAAACCAAACTTCCCCGAAGTTGTCCAAATCCTATCTTAATTGGAGCTCCTTCCATTATTAAAAACACACTTAACTCATGTTCTTGCACTAAGGCTGACTCCAATAGCACAGAAACATTTTCTTTTTTTTTTTTTTTTCTTTTTTGAGACAAGGTCTCACTGTATTACCCAGGCTGGAGCACAGTAGCATGATCATGGCTCACTGCAGCCTCCTCTCCCACACTCACATGAGCCTCCCACCTCAGCCTCTGGAGTAGCTGGGACTACAGGAGTGTGCTGCCTCTCTGGATCATTTTTACATTTTGTAGAGACAAGGTCTCTGTGTGTTGCCGGGGCTGGTCTCAAACTCTTGGGCTCAAGCAGTCCTTCTACTTCAACCTCCCAAAGTGATGGTATTACAGGTGTGAGCCTCCATACCTGGCTGACATTTTCAATACACATGCAGCTACTTTTCCCTAAAATAGCACTGCTATGGTTTAAATGTGTCCCCCAAAGTTCACATGTTGGAAACGTAATCCCAATGCAAAAGTGTTGGAAGCTGGGGCCTAACAAGAGGTTATTAGGTCATGAGGGCTCTGCCCTCATGAATGGATTAATATCATAAACAGTGGGTTAGTTATCTCCAGGTTGGACACAGTGGCTCATGCCTGTAATCCCAGAACTTTGAGAGGCCAAGGCAGGCAGATTACTTGAGGCCAGGCATTTGAGACCAGCCTGGCCAACATGGTGAAACCCCCATCTCTACTAAAAATACAAAAATAAAATTTAAAAAAATCAGCTGGGCATGGTGACATGCACCTGTTATTCTAGCTACTCAGGAGGCTAAGGCATAAGAATTGCTTGAACCTGGGAGGTGAAGGTTACAGTGAGCCAAGATGGTGGCATGGCACTCCAGCTTCAGTGACAGAGTGAGTCTCTGTCTCAAAAAAAAAAAAAATTAAATTAAAAAAATAAACAGTGGGTTAGTTATCTCAAAAGTGGGCTTATTTCCCCCCCCCTTTTTTTTTGTTCTTTCCCGCCACCTCTCTCCAGTCAAAAGTGGGCTTATTATAGAATCAAGTTTGGACCCCTTTGCTCTGTTGCTCTCTCATGCACTCTTTTGCCCTCCTGCCTTCTGCTAGGGGATGATGCATCAAGAACACCCACACCAGATGAGGGCACCTTGATATTGGATTTCCAGCCTCCAGAACTGTAAGAAATAAATTTCTATTCTTTTAAAATTACCCAGTCTGTGGTATTCTGTTACAGCAACACAAAATAGACTCCAACAAGCATCCTGCTCCCATGATCCAAAATTCTGCAGAGAGTAAGATGACCTGAGTCTGGGACAAGGTTAGGGAAAAGATTGAAACTTTATAAGCAAAGGGGTCCAAGAGCTGACTCTGTCCTTGGCCCCTTCAAAAAACAGATGCTTGACATTCGTTACACTTGGACTCTGGACTCCAGGGATAATTTTGGTAACTTTGGGTCATGTTTTTCAATAATGAGTTTTTTCAGTGGATAAACACTAAAAACAATATCATATTTCAGCAGGTAGAGAGAAAAATCTTCAAGTAGAACAGGAGGAAATAAGCATAAGTAATAAAAGGAAAGACAGATTCAATGTGAGAAAGAACATGGCATCCATAGAGGCTGGTGAGCCTGGGACGTCTCACTGAGGTCGATGTCTTGTTTTGCCTTCTTAGACGTTTGATCCATTCCCCACCCTCTACTAGTCAGAGCTATCCAGCTTGGAAGAGGGATGTGCAGAATGATGGCTAATGAACGAGGTGGCTTTTCCAGTGTCTGTGACTCTCCACTCACAGGCCACTCTCTGAAGGGGTCCTAGTAACTACAATAGTAATAATATGATCTTCCATGTGAAGAGTGCTTTATGGATTTTGCAGGGAGGTTATGTTCATTAATCCTTTTTTGTGTGTGTGAGACAAAGTCTTGCTCTTGTCACCCTCCTGTTGCAGTGCAGTGGCGTGATCTCAGCTCACTTTAACCTCTGCCTCCCTGGTTCAAACAATTCTCCTGCCTCAGCCTCCCGACTAGCTGGGATTACAGATGCGTACTGCCACGCCCAGCTAATTTTTGTATTTTTAATAGAGGTGGGGTTTCACCAAGTTGGTCAGGCTGGTCTTGAGCTCCTGACCTCAGGCTATCTGCCCACCTCAGCCTCCCAAAGTGCTGGGATTACAGGCATGAGCCACTGTGGCAAGCCTTATGTCCATATTTCATCAGGTCTTCCAACAATCCTCCAAGGCAGACAGGACAGGTATTATTCCCAGTGAAGGAAATTCAGGCCAAGGAACGTTTAATGGCTCAGGCAAAGTCACCCAGCCCAGTAAACAATGGAACCAAAGCAAACCCATGTTTCCTGACTCCCAGCCCGCTGGTCTTTCAGAGGATTTGACAGGCCCACTCTGAGACTCTGCCATTTATTCCCATGGAGTGAAAACAGGTGCCTTTAGCATGTGACAGAGAATAATTCTAATATTCAGTTCTACTTCTGCACCTCCTTTATTTAATGTTGTTTTTTTTCTTCTTCTTTCTTTCTCTCCCCAGAAGCCTGGGACTTGCCCCTGTGATCTGCTGCTTTGGAGGGTCTTGGGCCTCAGGGCTGGCAAGGTCCCTTTTGGAGATTCCAGTTCCTCTGCCTGCCCTCCTTTACCTCTTCCCCCTCACACATCAGTCCCAGGGAGAGGGCTGCCAACCAGTGTTACCACTTGACAGATCACAAGAGGGCTAGTTCCATTGCCTCCCTTGTTCAGCTGCTGACACTGCAGCTTGGCAGTCATTACAGACAACGTTTAGCTCCCACATCTGACCTGATTGGAAGATCAGGCCTCTGTCATCCCGGTTTCCTGTCCTTGGATAGTTCTTTACTAACTTTTATTCATTAAGGCAGTGGGCAGAAAGCAGCAGAACCTGTTTCTTGTTTTTTGAGACGGGTCTCCCTCTGTTACCCATGCTAGAGTGCAGAGGCACGATCATGGCTTACTACAGCCCCAACCTCCCGGGCTCATGCAATCTTCCCACCTCAGCCTCATGAGTAGCTGGGACCACAGGTGCATGCCACTATGCCTAACTAATTTTTGTAATTTTTTGTAGAGATGGGGTTTTGCCATGTTGGCCATGCTGGTTTTGAACTCCAGAACTCAAGCAATCTGTTGGTCTTAGCCTTCCAAAGTACTGGGATTACAGGTGTGAGCCACTGCACCTGGCCAGAACCTTTTTATTTATTTATTTGTTTTTTGAGACAGAGTTTCACTCTTGTTGCCCAGGCTGGAGTGCAATGACGCAATCTTGGCTCACTGCAACCTCTACTGGGTTCAAGCAATTCTTCTGTCTCAGCCTCCTGAATAGCTAGGATTACAGGCATGCGCCACCACACCTGTCTAATTTTGTATTTTTAGTAGAGACAGGGTTTCACCGTGTTGGTCAGGCTGGTCTCAAACTCCCAACCTCAGGTGATCTGCCCACCTAGGCCTCCCAAACTGCTGGGATTACAGGTGTGAGCCACCGTGCCCTACCCAGAATCTGTTTTTTAACTTAAAATTATTATTTAAAAGTTTGTACATGTTGAGAATTCTTAAAACCTTCACACATTTAATTTATACAGCAGCAGAGATATCTGATTCCTGGTCAAGTGAATAAGATGACTTGATATAAGCCCCCTGTTCATTGTACTTCCTCACTTCCTAAATTCCTAGGGGTGTACCTCCATTGAATAATAGTTTTTACCACCTGTACTTAGAGAGGGGCAGTGGCCATGGCTCCTTACTTGCCCATTAACTAATATCCCATCCTACAGCACCAGACTTGGAGCCAGAGCCCTGGTCATGGCCTCCTAGGTTCTCATACTTGACCTTTGCTCAATCATTTCACCATTTAGGCTTTATAGAAAGGGGGGATTGGCCGGGTGCGGCAGCTCATGCCTGTAATCCCCACACTTTGGGAGGGCAAGGCAGGTGGATGACCTGAGGTCAGGAGTTCGAGACCAGCTGGCCAACATGGTGAAACCCCATCTCTATTAAAAATACAAAAATTAGCCAGGCATGGTGGCCCATGCCTGTCATCCCAGCTACTCTGAGGCAGCTGAGGCAGGAGAATTGCTTAAACCTGGTGGGAGGTGGAGGTTGCAGTGGGCCAAGATCATGCCACTGTACTCCAGCCTGGAGGCTGGGTGACACAGTGAGACTCCATCTCAAAAAAATGGTAGGGGGAGATTATATGGCTGTTAGGGTCCTCCAGATCTGATACTCAGGATTGTACTCTAGAGACTTGATTATATTCATTAATACATTGCAATTTCATTCCTTTCCTAAGAATTACTATCCAAAAAAAAAAAAAAAAAAAAAGAAGAAGAAGAATTACTATCCAATGGTCATCCCTAAGCCCTTCCTATGGGAAACTGCCTCTTTTACAGAATGAATAAAGTTGTCCTAGATTCCCAGTTTTTGCTCACTTTTTCTCATATGTCTGCCAGTATCCAGAGACAGCTCAGCTGGATTTTTGGCTTTTCATCATAGGGCTTGTATATGTACATACACGCATGCACAAGTGTATGTATATGTTCATTCTTAAAGGGATATGGGTCATGGGAACCTTCACTCTATGCCCCCTCCACCTCCCACCAGCCCTACTTGAATTTTAATGAATAGTTAAAATAAATGCCAGGACCAGGCACAGTGGCTCACACCTGTAATCCCAGCACTTTGGGAGGCCGAGGTGGGTGGATCACCTGAGGTCAGGAGTTCGAGACCAGCCTGGCCAACATGGTAAAACCCCGTCTCTACTAAAAATACAAAAAATTAGCCAGGCGTGGTAGCAGGCACCTGCAATTCCAGCTACCTCGGGAGGCTGAGACAGGAGAATCACTTGAATCCGGGAGGCAGAGGTTGCAGTCAGCTGAGATCATGTCACTGTACTCCAGCCTGGGCAACAAGAGCAAAACTCTGCCTCAAATAAATAAATAAATAAATAAATGGATTAAATAAGAAATGTCAGGATGCCTAGAAGAACGAGTACATACTAAGAGGCCAGATATATGAGTGCAGCTATAGTGATAAGGAGGCTATTGGCAGTGTCACTTAGGTCTAAAGTATAGTTTCAGCTAGAGCTTTCTTCTACCCTAATACTGCCCCCATGTCCTGACAGCGGGCATTGTAGCAAATCCTGGATCCTGGACTGCAGCCAGCAGCTCTGGTCTCTGTACATCAGCTTCTCTATTTGAAACAACACAGAATTTGAATTTTGACTACTCTGGTGTTAACATCAAAATGCATTTTAGGCCAGGCGCAGTGGCTCACACCTGTAATCCCAACACTTTGGGAGGCCGAGGCGGGTGGATCACCTGAGGTTGGGAGTTTGAGACCAGCCTGACCAACATGGAGAAACCCTGTCTCTACTAAAAATACAAAATTAGACCGGTGTGGTGGTGCATGCCTGTAATCCCAGCTAGTCGGGACCCTGAGGCAGGAGAATCACTTGAACCCAGGAAGCCGAGGTTGCAGGTGAGCCAGATCGCACCATTGCACTCCAGCCTGGGCAACAAGAGCGAAACTCTGTCTCAAAAAAAAAAAGCATTTTATAGTGTTAAAAAACCATATTTATGTGGTTTTTTATTTTTCTACACATCTTTCACATCTACACAATTTCTACACATCTTTCTTCTGCATGACTTCATTTAATCCTTCTCTCAATCCTGAGAGGCAGGAAGGACAGAAATGTTGTTCCCACTGTTTTCCAGTGTTTGGTTTTGGTTTTTTTCCTTTTTTTTTTTTTAATTTTTATTATTTTTTATTTTTATTTTATTTATTTATTTTTTTATATGGAACGCTTCACGAATTTGCATGTCATCCTTGTGCAGGGGCCATGCTAATCTTCTCTGTATCGTTCCAATTTTAGTATACGTGCTGCCGAAGCAAGCACTCTTTTTTTTTTGGACACAGGGTCTTGCTCTGTTACTCGAGCTGGAATGCAGTGGCACGATCATAGCTCACTGCAGACTTGACCTTTAGGGCTCAAGTGATCCCACCTTAGCCTCCCAAGTAGCTGCGACTACAGGCACATACCACCACATCTGACTAATTACCTTTATTTTTGGTACAGATGAGGTCTCACTATGTTGACCAGATTAATCTCCAACTCCTAGCTCAAACTGTCCTCCTGCCCCAACCTCCCAAAGTACCGGGAGCTATGGCTCCTTGCTTTTTTATTTTATTTTCTGAGATGGGGTCTCACTGTTTCCCAGACTGGAGTCCAGTGACACGATCACAGCTCACTGCAGCCTCGACCTCCCCAGCTTCAGGAAGGTCCTCCCCCTTCAGTTTTTTTGTATTTTTAGTAGAGACAGAGCTTTGCCATGTTGCCTAGGCTGGTCTCAAATTCCTAGGCTCAAGCGATCTGCCTGCCTCAGCCTCCCAAAATGCTAGGATTACAGGCATGAATGAGCCACTGCACCTGGCCCCTCGCTGTTTTTTTGCTTTGTTTTTTTAACAGTAAATAAAAATGCAGTCTGGATTTTAAGGGCCACATAGCCAGAACTAACACGTAGTTCTCCAAGGTCCAAGTCCAGGCCTTCTCAATGACACCATACTGCAGCCCTTTGCTGGATACCATACAAAGCAAATCAAGCAGATGTGGTCTCTGCCCTCTGAAAGTGTGGACTCAAATGAACAGCCACGATTCTGGCAAACATAAAAGGATAAAGTGATTTAGTGTCAACTCACATACGCAATAAATAACTGAGTTAAATAGATAAGGAAAGGCATGTTTACCTGGTCTACTAATATTTTTTAGATTCCAGTTGAGTAGAGAGCAATGTTAATAAGACTAGGGTTTTGGGCCAGTTCCATCTCTGCCTACTTGCTTTGCACATGGAAAAATATTTGTAACTGCATGCAAACTCTTTCCCCTCCTTGTCTTCAACAATCCGTAAACCTTCCCTGAGCAGCTACCAAGTGTAACACAAATGGAAATGGACTATTAAGAAATCATCTCTGGGCCATGTGTAGTGGCTCACGCCTGTAATCCCAGCACTTTGGGAGGCTGAGGCAGGTGGATCACTTGAACTCCCATTTCTACTAAAAATAAAAAATAAAAATAAAAATTAGCCAGGCATGGTGGCATGCACCCATAGTCCCAGCTACTCAGGAGACTGACGCAGAAGAATTGCTTGAACCCAAGAGGCGGAGGTTGCAGTGGGCCAAGATCGCTTCATTGCACTCCAGCCTGGAAAACAAAGAGTGAAACTCCATCTTAAAAAAAAAAAAAAAAAAAGAAAAAGAAATCATCTCTGCCCTCTAGCAACATCTTCAACCATTTCCCTAATTCAAACCACTGGGATGAAAACTTATATCCCGTATATACTACCTCTACTGCTGGAAAAAGGATATGTCAAGTCAATACCCATTGTATTATTAGAGGGCCTGAGATTCATCCTTATCCATGCAGGAGGGTCAGGTAGAACAACAAAGAGGTAGACTTCTGAATTTGAGGGAAATTGGTCTTATCCCAGAGAAGTGAGGCCACCATCCACCTGCAGTAGCTTGGTTTCCCAGATACCTAAGCAAAGGTAGAAAGGAACACTGGGATTAGGAAATGTGGGCAAAGACCTGCAGCCAGAGAATAGCCTCCTATCCTCCTATCTCAGAGCAAACTGTTGCAGCCCAATTCATCCTTTGGGGGTTCTGCCTCAAGCTCTGTCTCCAATAGAGTGATCTAAGGATCTCAGGCAGTGAGGCCCGAATTGCATTTGAGTCTTTAAAAAGATTCACAGATCCTTTTAGGCAGCAAGCTTAATTGTTGTCTGTAATTGATGTGACATATGCCCCAGAGGCATGCACTGAGGTCCAACTGAGATGTTTTTTTTAAAAAAATTGGAATTAATTAATTAAAGTAGGCAGCTGCACGGGCCTGGGAGTTAGTGCCAAGCTCTGTAACCCTAAACCAGCCAACCAACCCAACTGGCCTCACCACCTGAGGAACAATCCCTGCAGCTCTCTTGGAGACGAGATGGGATGGAAGTGCTGGGAAGCAGTGCAGGGAAGGGGGGCTTGCAAGGGGGAAATGCGGGGATCAGGGTCCCCACTCTTCGCTTTCATGATCACCCAAAGACTTAGCTCTTGAGAACTGTTTGGGGGGACTAGGTAACTGCGAAAAGGAGAAGGGAAGTTCAAATGGAAGTATGTGAGGGGTGGGTGAGATTTTGGGGGAGGGGAAGCCAGGGGGCTGGAATGGGAAGGGGAGTGGTTGGCAGATGTGAAAATGTTGTAGCAGCTCAAGTAGGGAATGGAAGGATCTGGGGTTGGAGAGGACCTATGGGCGGAGCTCAGAGGAGGTGGAGCCTGGGTGTGGGGGCGGTAACATGGTGCCTGAGGCCTCAGCACTCAGAGGAGGTATTAATTAAACCCCTTACTTGAGGTCATTTAACAAAGCTGTGGCAGCTTTTCACAGGAGTTGGGTTAATAACAATAATAATAACAATTAAAGATAATGAGACCTTATCTGGAGAAAGTTGTTTCTAGAGATTGTAGGTATTAAGTCATTAATTCCCCTGGCCCCTGAGGGTCACCTTTTCCTAAAAAGTAAATGTTGGTGCAAGCAGACACAGACAATCCTTGTGCACCTGAGGACTGAACCGCTGTCCTGTGGCCGGTCTGCTGGGCCTGCTGCCTTTGGCTGGCTGGGTTAGTTCATTTACACAGGGATAAAATCCAGAGTTCGATTAGGGCATCATAAACTGTTATAATCTTTTGCATTATCTAAAGTCTTGGAAACGACGCTTAAATGAAGTGAGTGCAGAAATCGCCACCATAAGATGCCCACACAACTTTGATGTTGAAAACTCAGCCAGGTGCGATGGCTCATGCCTGTAATCTCAGCACTTTGGGAGGCCAAGGCAAGTGGATCACTTGAGTCCAGGAGTTCAAGACCAGCCTGGCCAACATGGTGAAACCCCCGTCTCTACTAAAAATATAAAAATCAGCCAGGCGTGGTGGTTCACGCCTGTAGTCCCAGCTACTCAGGAGGCTGAGGCACAAGAATCGCTTGAACCTGGGAGGCAGAGATTGCAGTGAGCCAAGATTATGCCACTGCACTCTAGCCTGGTCGACAAAGCGAGACTCTGTCAAAAAGAAAGAAAGAAAACCCAAACCCCACCTGAAAACACCAAGGTGAACAATATGCTGCAGTGGAAAATGGCCTGGAAATACCCTTGATACTGTATGGCAAGGCCCTGATTGGCTGAGCCTTCGCTAGAGACAGGGCAAGACGTCAGGCATCTGCCCCAGCGGACCAAGAAGGGAAATTTAGAGCAAAGACTTGAGGGAAGTAAAAAAAGGAGTTTTCTTAGATTGGGGCAATCACATGGGACGGAGGTTGCTCCAAAAGCCTTTAGCAAACCTTATTGCCAGTAGTGTCTGGCCTTGCAGAGTTAATCATAGCAGTGATTACTACAAATTATTATATATGCACCAATCCGAAGATAGACTTTGTATTCACATCTGGTAGATGGGAGAGTCATCATCATTATTGTAGTCAAATATCAAAGGCAGCAACATAGAACATGTATAGCAGCTTTATTTATTTTTTACTTTATTTTAGACAGAGTCGTGCTCTGACACTCAGGCTGGAGTACAGTGGCGCAATCACAGTTCACTGCAGCCTCGACCTCCCAGGCTCAAGTGATCCTCCTGCTTCAGCCTCCTAAGAAGCTGGGACTACAGGCCTGTGCCACCATGTCTGGGTAATTTTTAAATTTTCTTTTCTTTTTTTTTTTTCTTTTTGAGACAGAGTCTTGCTCTGTCACCGAGGCTGGAGTACAGTGCCACGATCTTGACTCACTGCAACGTCCATCTCCTGGATTCAAGCAATTTTCCTGCCTGAGCCTGCTGAGTAGCTGGGACTACAGGCATGTACCATGACACCCAGCTAATTTTTGTATTTTTTTAGTAGAGTTGGGGTTTTACCATGTTGGTCAGGCTAGTCTTGAACTTCTGACCTCAAATGAATTTTAAAATTTTCTGTAGAGATGGTAGTCTCACTGTGTTGCCCAGGCTGGTCTTGAACTCCATGGGCTCAAGCAATTCTCCCACCTTAGCTTCCCAGAGTGTTGGGATTACAGGCATGAGCCACAGCACCTGGGCTACACCTTTTTTTTTTTTTTTTTTTTTTAACAACAACAAAACCTCAATGCACTTAAGCAGAATGCGTCTCCTGGTCATCCTTAGGTCATGGTAGAGGGAAGCATGATGCTGTCCATTAATAAAGGTGCAAAGGGGCAGGTGAGATCTAGAGCAGGAGCTAAGCCTATCTAAATTTCAGCACTGGGCAGCAGAAGGATCTGTGTTATGAAATAAGAGGGAACAGTCCCACTCTTCTGACCTTAGGCCCCTCCCCTATCCTTTCCTTCTCTTACCTGTGTTACTACAAAGTCATCTGTAAGAAGGTACTGGAACTTTCAGGACTTGAATAACAATCTGCCTTATAGATTGCATCAGAGAACATACAGTAAAGTATTATTTGGTGAAGTTAGGGAATGGAGTGTTCTTGTTAATCAAATAATCTGGTTAACAAAGTAGTACTCAACGTATGGTAATATTTGGGACATATTTATACAGGTTAAGTATCCCTAACAAAATAATCTGAAATCCAAAACACTTCTGGTTCCAAGCATTTGGATAAGGGATACTCAACCTGTACTAAAATTATTCACTGTTTATCTGAAATTCAAATTTAACAAGGTGTTCTGTGTTTTATCTGGGAACCTTACTGATAGAGTTTAGATGTCCTCTCCAAATGCCATGTTCAGATATAATCCCCAGTATTGGAAGTGGAGCCTGATGGGAGGTATTGGGGTCATGGGAGCAGATCCCTCATGGCTTGGTGCTGTCCTCACCATAGTGAGTGAGTTCTCTCGTTCTGGTTGT